TGCAGATAGTTCTAAAACACGAAAAAATAATATTTCGATAGCTAATTCTACTATGACGACTCCTGAAATACATTACGCTTCACAAAATAAATTTTCAATTGCTGGACAGCGAAATATGGTCCAACTTTTTAAAGAGGTAACATCATCTGATAAAGCTTCAGATCTTTTGAAGTCTCACGCCAAATTAAACTCTTCAAAAATCATAGCACTTACGGCTGATGAAGCGTTGGCATTTTTTATTGAAAATGATTTAACGAAAAATCAATATTTGAATATAAGATTAACAGCGAAACAACATAATGCTGATATCTATCCACCATACGATACAATTATTGCAGCAAAATCATTGTGTTATCCTGAAAATTGTATAGTATCTGAAACTTTTTGTGAAATAAAACTGCAGGATCTTCTTAACCACACCTCAAAAAGAATATTTGAAATTCCCTCAATAAATTTTAATGAAAATTATTTAAAAGAATTTGAAATTATTTATAAATGGGGTTGTGATGGAAGTAATGGACAGTCACTATATAAACAACTGTATCGTGATTCAAACGAATGCTCTGACAGAGATTTATTTCTTTTTTCAATTGTTCCTCTCCAGTTGCACTCTTTTAATGAAACCAATGAAAAACATATAATATGGAAAAATAGAAGAACTTCTTCTACACGGTTTTGTAGACCAATCAAGTTTAAATTTCAAAAAGAAACGAAGGTTACTACATTACATGAAGTAAATGGTATTAAAGACCAAATACAAAATTTGTTGGCTTCACACATAATATTTAACGGTAAAGAAGTAAAAGTTAAGCATACTTTATTATTTACAATGGTTGACGGAAAGGTAAATGAGTTATATAATAGTATATATATTTTTAAAATATGTAATATTTATTTAAAATCATTATTTACTTGTGATATTATCATAAAGGTATGTAACTCCATGACAGACACCTCAAGTCAAAAATGTTACATTTGTGGTTCCTCTCCAAAAGACATGAATAATATTGAACAGGTAAAAAAAAGATTAATTAACCACGAATCGTTGAGATTTGGACTGTCCACACTTCATGCATGGATACGATTCTTTGAATGCTTGTTACACGTTTCATATCGTTTGGAATGTAAGACTTGGCAAGTATGTAAGATTGTTATAATATGCAAAATATATTTAATCAATAATTATATTAAACATTAAAAATTATATTTTAGGTTAGAACACCAGTACAAAAGCTAAGTTCTGCACAACGAAAAAAAAACATTCAAGAACGTTTTCGCACAGAAATGGGTTTATTGGTTGATGTTGTGCTACAAGGTAAAAACGAACTAATATTAATTTGGTAAAATATGAATTATGTACCGCAGATGTATTTACTCTGACAAATATATTTTCAGGGAAAGGAAATACAAACGATGGTAACACGGCAAGAAGATTTTTTAAAAACCCAGGAAAGAGCGCAGAAATAACTGGAATTGATTTTACATTACTCAAACGTTTTGGGAACATATTATCTGTAATTGCTAGTGGACGTGAAATTAATCCAATTACGTTTGATGAATATGCTTTGGCCACGGCTACATTGTTTGTACAACTTTATCCTTGGTACTATATGCCGGCAAGTGTACACAAAATACTTATTCATGGAGCTGACGTTATAAAATTCGCCATTTTGCCTATTGGTAAACATTTTTTTTTTTTATATACCTACTAAAATAATATTTTTATATATTTATTTTTTGCAGGACAACTTTCTGAAGAAGCCCAAGAAGCTAGAAATAAAGATTACAAACGAATAAGGCAAAATCATACAAGAAAAAATAGTAGATTAAATACCAATAAAGATTTAATACACATGCTACTCGTCTCATCAGATCCATACATATCGTCCATTAGAGAACTGCCGAATAAATGTCGACTTACATTCAGTGATGATTTACAAAACTTATTTATGTTTCCTGAGTACTCAGATAAAAGTACAAATGCATTAAATTCGTCGTTTTCAGAAATGGAAATAAACGAAAATGAATAAACATATGATATTAATAATTGTAATTTTCTTTTTTAAAATTTCAAAAATAAATTATATAGATACGTGACATAAATTTACTTATTTAATAATTTAAAAATATAAATGTACAACATATTACATAGGTAAATAAGTAAGATAGATACACTTAATTTGTATATTTTGAAATATTATTTACATGTATGACGTGTGGACGAAAAATAAGAAATATAAAAAAATTCATGTTTTGTTGCAAATATTACGATAAACCTTACAGAAATAATTTCTGTACGC